TCTAGCCAAGACAGTATCTATATATGAAGACTGGGATAAACACATCATTCTTTTCTTACAATCACGAATGATCTTGATACCAAGAATGTGTCCTACTTCACCCAAGTCCTTCATATCAAACTGCTTAGACAACCACACCTTTACGTCCGACAACTCCTTCTTGTTGTTGCCAATAAGAAGTATGTCATCCACGTATAGCACAAGAAACACCAACACGCTTCCACTAATCTTCTTGTATACACAGTGCTCATCCGGACATTGGGTGAATCCATATGACTGGATTACCTCATCAAACCGAATATTCCAAGATCTTGAAGCTTGCTTCAGTCCATAAATGGACCGATTAAGCTCACAAATTAAGCGCTCATGCCCTCTTGCAATGAATCCTTCTGGTTGCTGCATATAGATGTCTTCCTGAAGGTTCCCATTAAGGAAAGTCGTCTTAACATCCATCTGCCAGACTTCATAATCCATATGAGTGGCTACAGCTAAGAGAATCTGAATGGATTTAAGCATAGCTACTGGCGAAAAGGTTTCATCATAATCGATACCCTCTTTCTGGGTATAACCTTTCGCAACAAGCCTAGCTTTAAAGGTTTCTACCTTTTCATCCGATCCTCTCTTTCTCTTGTAAACCCACTTGCATCCAATGGGACGTATCCCATCGGGTGGTTCTACAAGATCACAGACCTGATTGGTGTCCATAGACCCCATCTAAGCTTTCATTGCAACCTTCCACGAATTTGCATCTCTATCTTGGAGTGACTCGTCATAAGTTCTTGGGTCCGATTCTAGGTCTCCTGGAACTGAGTCCGATGACTCTCCAAGACCTATCCATCGGTCAGGTTGTGTAGAAACCCTCCCACTATGATGAGGTACCGTCTGTACTGGCACACTATCAGTGTTACGTGTTGCAGTACTATGTGATGTATTTACTTGCACACTCGGTGGGGAACTATCGATATCTCTCCCTAACTCCTCTAGGACAAGTTTACTACTGGGCTTATGATCTATGATATAGTCTTCTTCCAACAATCTAGCGTTCATACTAACGATCACCTTCTGATCCTCAAGACTATAAAATAAACCACCTTTCGTTTCCTTGGAGTAGCTGACAAACAGTCTCACTTCTGAATGTTTCTCCAACTTGCCAGCCTCCCGCACTAAGACATGTGCAGGGCAACCCCAAATTCGAATTTGTGAGAAACTAGGCTTGCGCCCTTTTCACAACTCATAAGGAGTACTCTCTACTGA